TAATAATAATAATAATAATAATAATAATAATAATAATAATAATATTCGTAATGACTTCACCAATAGGGATCATCATTACAAGCAATAGTGCCAGCAAGAGAAGAGGGATGCGGGGATCTCTGCAATCCCCCACTGGCTGTTTTTTTTTTCTCTTTCTTTCTTCTTTCTTCTCTCTCTTTCTTTATTCTTTCTTTCTCTATGTACCTCTCTGTCTGTCTGTTTGTCTGTTTGTTTATTCACAGTCAGTGGGTGTTGGTGGGGGAGTGTCTTTCCATACACATCCATTGCAAATAATAATAATAATAATAATAATAATAATAATATTTAATATATCGTATTCAATATATATATATATATTTATGTGTATATATATATATACTGCTTTCACCTATTCTTCTTCCCTTTTTTTCTTCTATCTTTCCCCCCTCTCTTCTCATTCAGTTACCCAAAGTTCATTCAAAACAAAGAACCATACTTCACACAGACAAACAAACAAACAAACAAACAAACAAAAAACATAACACTCTTCCTCCTTCCTCCTTCTTCTTCTTTTTATCTTTTCTTCTACTTTACTTATCAATAATTTAAGGGGAAATTACCCTCGTTTTCCTTCTCTTTTTTTCTTCTTTTTTCTTTTTCTACTTATGTGATTATCGCTTTCCATCCTTTGATTGTGTATTCTTCTGTGCCCAACGTCCTCCACGTCTTTTTCCACCACTACCACCATTCCCACCACCATCACTGGTAGTTCCCAAAGGCTCATCACTGGTGCTATTTGTATAATGATGATTAGAACTCTTATTATTATTATTATTATTATTATTATTATTATTATTATTATTATTTCCATTTCCATTGCTATTCCCACTACTACTCCCATCTGCAATGGGCATGGCATTCTTCACATGTGGATTTGTATTTTCCATCCAAATACGTACACGAAACATACGGTACAATTCCCGCACCAGTGGTCGAAAGTCCACACTGTGTTCACTGTTAAAATAAAAGCTTACCTTCTCCATATCAAACTGATATTCACAATCCTGTAAATTAATTTTAATGCCCATATCATCACAAACCTTTTTACACGTCTCCAAAGCCACACGTTCTGCTCTTTGCATAGTATGATGTAAGTAATCAATTTCCTCTGCGGTGGCCACACCAAGTACACGACCTTTTTCAAGTTTAATCTTCTCTGCATTTACATTTGTGCCATCCATACAATACAATGCGGTGGACCCATCCGGGCGGGTTTTAATGGTCTGCACGAGAAGACCGCAGTCCCGACCACGATCTCCATCTACCATTACATATTGACCAGGTGAGATATCCATACTACACTCATACTTGCGAACCCGATGTCGTTTGAACTCCACAAAGGCAAGGAACTTTTGTCCATCTGTGCATTCCGAAGGGGTTTGGGAGTGTAATGTTTGTTCAGATTCTTGTTGTGGCTGTTCCATAATAGCAGCAGCAGCAGCACGTGAGGGATCACAACATTCCTCATCACCACGACTGCAGTTACTCATCATCATCGTATTATTATTATTATTATTATGAGCGGTGGTGGGAGCTGTATCCATAAAGCTAGACGTCATTTCATTCATAGCCCCATATACACCAGCAGCAGCAACAACAGTATTATCATCACCAGCACTATTATTATTAACACTATTCCCTGTTGTTGTTGCTAGCATAGATGAACTGTTTGGACGGTATAATGGAGAACCAGAAGTAACACTGTTCATATAAGGCATCATCTGTACAGTAGAGGACATGGTAGGATCAAGATGATGATGTTGTTGTTGTTGTTGTGAATATGGAAATGATGTCTGTTGTTGTGGTTGTTGTGGACGTCTCATCACGCCAGCTGCGGTGTTACCTCCACTCTCTAACAATTCCGCTGTTCCATTTTTATGTTGAATTCCCCGTGCCTCTGGAATACACCAAATACCCCGATCACCAAATGGTGTGGTGTTGGCATTCGTATTTGCAGCAGGAGAACCAAAGAGTTGAGCCCCACTACTTGTCTCTGTCTGCAAGAGAACATTATGCTGTTGTTGTTGTTGTTGTTGATGATGGTTTAACATAGAATGATGATGTTGCTGTTGCTGTTGATGTTGATGTTGATGATGATGATGATGGGATGGTGAATGCATAAATGTATCTTTAGACATCTCTGTTGTTGCCAAACTATGATGATAAGCCGCTGCTGCTGCTGCTACTCCATTTAACATCGTTGTATTGGTATTAGTATTAGTATTATTGTTATTGTTATTGTTTACTGTAGATGTATCCCGCAATTGCAGAAGTCTTCGAATATCTTCTTCCAAGTGTGTGAGGAGTTGATGTAATACCGCCACTGCAGGTGTACTGTTGGCTGTTGGGATGTGTCCCATGTGTTGTTGTAATTGAAAAGTGGCCATCCCTTTACATTCCCCTAAACATGTTAATAATCGATCTAACGTGGCATTGTTATTTCGTAGAAATGAAGAAGTGTTTCCATCCGTGTTGGTGGATGTTGTGGGGCCATGCATCTCTTCTGCTTCCAACACATTTGCTGCTGCTGCTGTTGTTGTTGTTGGTGTATGTAGAGATATGGGAATAGTGTTGGGATGCATTTGATGATGTTGATAAGAAGATGTAGATGATGAAGTAGTAGTAGTAGTAGTAGTAGAGGGATGAAGTGAAGAATGATGGGCTAATGCGGCTGCATACATGGAAGGATTTGTTGTTGCTGCTGTATACGCATGCGGTGGAACTGTTGTGGTGGATCCAAGTGTGTGCATGCCCACAGTGTAATTCCCAACAGCAGCACTATTATTATTATTATTATTATTATTATTATTATTATTATTGTGGGTGAATGGAACAGCAGCAGCAGTAGTAGTATTAGTAGTATTAATATTAGTAGCTGTATTCGTAGAAGTATTATTATTATTATTATTATTATTATTGGTATATTCGGGATTACTTCTCACCGCATGAGCAGAGGCGCTCTTGCCGCCACTACCACTAGTACTACTACTACTGCTATCACTTGTGGCCGTTGTCGAATCAGGAGAATTACTGTTGGGAGTGTGCGGCTGAAGTGATGATTGCTGTTGTTGTTGTTGAGATTGTTGAGATGATTGCTGTTGTTGTTGTTGTTGTTGAGATGGTCGTTCACTCATCCAACCACCAGCACTTCCAGTAGTTCCTGTTTGGGTGAAGGGTAACCTTGGCTGACTAAAGAAGCCATCAAGAATGTCACCACTACTACTCATTATATATATATATATATATATATATAGAGATAGATAGATAGATAGATATCTATATTATATAGTTTTCTTTATGCCCTCAACGTATTTGGGGATTGCAATGAGAGGACTAATGCCAAGTTGAAGTAAAGCCCAGATAAGAGGGAATAAAGAAAGATAAACACAGTCAATAAATAAAGAAGAGAAAAAGAAAAAGAAAAAGAAAAAAAGATCGATCTCTTCTTCGTTTTATTTATTTTATTTATTCTTTCTTATTTTTCTTTATTCGCTACTACCGATGCTACTTCAAGTGAATCTGTTCTATACCTTTGTTTTTATTGTTGTTGTTGCTTTT